CTATTTGAAGGCAAAGTCAAATAAGCCACATTATGGCTTAGCATAGAGTGGGAACCGGCCTCCATGCTCAGCATGATGGCTAGGGAATTCTGGGAGTTGAAGTCCACTCATCTTAAAGTGGCCAAGTTTGGACGACACTGTGCTAAGCCATAAACCATAATTTACAAAACATAATAGATGGGTTTACTATTTGAAGGCAAAGTCAAATAAGCCACATTATGGCTTAGCATAGAGTGGGAACCGGCCTCCATGCTCAGCATGATGGCTAGGGAATTCTGGGAGTTGAAGTCCACGCATCTTAAAGTTACCAAGTTTGAAAAACACTTATCTAGTCCAAGTAAACTTCATAAGAGTCCCTGTGAAATTAACGGGACTTAATTCTAAGTTGTTTCCAGGTGTTTGTGTGTGGCAGGGGGGAGGGGAAATCACAAAAGTCAAGATGGTGGCTGCGACTGTGCAGTTGAAGCCCTGCCCCTTTTGCACGTGCACCACCTTGACTTTTTTGACCCTACTTCTAGCAGATGTGCCAAGATACCCATACAGAAACTTATTCTTCACAGCCTGTGGGCCTTTCCACCTTTCCAAGTTCCAGTGCTCCCCACCCATCAACCGAAAACTCTACCAGCATGAAATGTGATGTCTTAAGCAACAGTTCCTATTCTACCACTATTGCCTCTGTCCTCCCTCCAAGGAAATGGGTGACAAAGCCTAACCATTGTTATACCCTTTGGATGGTGTCAGAATAAGCAGGAAAGGACCACTTTGAACCAGTTAAGCAAAGGCCATCTCCTACATGAGCTGGGGATAAGGGAAAGACGGTGTCGTGGGTCGCAACTGAAAAAGAGAGGTGGCAAGGCTCGTTGGTGTCCAAGTGGGGGCACGTTTCTGGTGCACAGCTCTCTCTTTACATGCACAGCATTGCCTCTAATCTTCACGTAATACTGTGTAAAGAGGAAATCTCTGGAGCTGCAAAGGATGGCACATGAAAACACAACTGCAACAGAAAGAGCAGAATAGGAGGCAGGTAAGTAGTAAGAGTGTATACTTTTTTTAATGGTGGCTTATCTGTTTAATCAGTGATGTCATCAAAGTAAACAAACCCCACCAGCTCATGACCCTAACCGGAAATGATGTGCATAACCCCCCTCCCACCAGAAGTGACATGCATAGCCCTCTTCCCCCCGGATATGATGTGCATAGCCTACTTCCCCCATGTGATGCAGAACTCACAAGGTCATAACCCTAACCAGATATGGCAGGTTGAACCCATCAAGCAAAGTGTGACAGTCGACCCCAGGGCGCGGGATTAGGTAAATCCCAACTTAATTCTAAGTGCATTCAAACCAAAGTGGATAATTAACAGAACCCTAGGGTGGGTTATATTTAGGAAACAAACCCTATTTTATGCACTGTGAAATAAATAATAGCCTAATGATGCTTTTAATTTTTGTGGAGTTTTAAAAACCAGCACCTTGAATGTAGGAAAAGGAGTTCCTAAAATGCAGCCACAGCCTGCATTTGACCCTCTCTTTTCTAAAAAAAGGGGTTTTATTTCTAGGCAGTTTTAAAATCATTCCCTCAAACACAGGAAAAAAGCACTTTTTAAAAATTACAGCCAGCTTTTACCGCATATAAAAATCTAAACACACACATTTTGCAAATTGTAGGTTGAAAGACACATGCACGAGTAAACATTTTGAAGCATCGCCTTCAATGTATTCCATCCCCTACAGCAAAGCCAGGAAATATTAACAGGAATTAAATATTCACATGCAGCAATCAACCAAACAGCAAGTATCCAGCCATGATACTTATTATGGATACGTGTCAGAGCCATGATTCTGAGCATGCGTGTTTGTGACAGCTATGAAAAAAAAAAAGGATTGGGCAGTGTTTAGTCATGTCTGGGCAGAACCTGCACATATCCAGACATGCCCAGACCATGTGATTCTGTGGTCAGGTGCACTGGTCAACAACATAACAGCTACAGGCCTGTGCTGTTGCTGCTGTGAAGTTCAACGGTTTAAACTCCTGCGTCCTTTTGAAAAATAAAAGGCCTGTATTTTGAAGATGGCAAATACTGATGGCAATCTGTCTGATGTGAAATTGACCCCCAAACTGCCCAAGTGTACATGTAGAATAAGAAAAAGATCTGAGCTTTGTAGAGTCATTGAGGACGAACTTACAATGCCTTGTTATTGCTGGTTCTGCAAAACATCAAACGGTAAGTAAAAATAAATAGTAGCTTGATTAGTTGAAACCATCAGTCTAATTCTGCCTTATTTCCTGTTATAGAAATGATGGTGTCTCAAGATGCTAGCATGGCACAGATTTTGAAAGCATGTATCGTAAAAATCCTGCATTATTGTTTAATGGGGTGTCTACAAGAAGATGAAGTGCAAGTGGACGGATCCAGCAAAGTAGAGCTTATTAAAAGCGTATGCTGCAGGCTTTCCAAACCCGAGGCCCTCTGGATCGTCATAAGCATTTCCAACAAACTGGATAAATTATATTTCATGCGAGATATCCTTGGTGAATTCAGGGCATTCATACACTGTATCGAGAAGAACCATAATCCACTTTCAGTAATGTCAGACATTCAGGGTGAATTGCCAGTATCTCTGAAGAGGATCATTTGTTAGAATGTAACAGAAATTAATTGCAAGGAATTGTTAATATTCACCCAGTGACTTTTAAAATAAAATATGTATTTACAGTCATGCGGAATTTGTTTTATTTATTTTGCTAACCCTGTTTAACCATGTCAGATGGTAAACACAGAGATACAATTTAATTAAAGCATGTGTGATATTATTCAAACTGGGCTTCCTGGTAGAGGGAACTGGCTGGTTTTGCAAACGGTGTTAAGAATTCAGTGCCTCTGATGTGATTAGTTTGTGACATCAACATGTATAAAGTAGGGCGCATACAGTATGTGACTGCTGTGGTGTGTGGCTTTCTGACTTATCCATACTACCTGCACCATTTGCTAGCTAAGAAGACTCTTTTCAGAATGGATGCTGCTAATGTAAGTCATTTTATGGCTAATTTTTGAAATGCAGTCCCTCACAGATGCAAAATAATATTTATAACTTTCTTGTTTGTTGATTTCTTTCATTAGAATGAAGTGTCAGACTCACAATGTCTGAAAGCCTATGAAGGTATTTTTTCCTTTCACACATACAACATCACTAGACTCTTGTAAACACTTCTGCAGCAATTCTGACCCCCTGTGTCTTTTCTTTTCTTTCAGAATGGGAGGATGACCTGCTCTTTGCAACCTTTCCAATGCCCACAGATTCACAATGGGCTCAACAGATTATGGAATACATAGAAGGTAAAATATCTACAGTGTTTTATCCAAATACAAGTAGGTTTCAGAAAACTATGATGTTTTGTTGTATTATTATGAACGTTGCTGGAGTTCTGTTGTTTCTGTTGTTTTATCCAGAGCCGGCCTGCAAAAAAAACAAAAGGGTATGGTGGAGGATTTCCTACAGGTTTCCCTGACAGTATTACCAGTACAGAACGGCCTATGCCAGAAACAAAACCAGCAGAGGAGATAAACTATTCTATGCAACAGACAGAGGGCCCAAACTCAATAAATA